CTAAGGTCAATTAGCTATAGGCACTGGATCTTATACAATGTTATCAATTAGCTACAAGCACTGCCTCTGATACAATGTTATCAATAGCTACATGCTCTGATATCATGTTAGAATTTAAGATTTAGCCAAAGTCACTGACAATATCTACCATTACAGTATCTCTTCAAAAGAAATGATGTTTTTAATCTGTTACCATTCACAACTCTCGGATTTGGATTAAGTCTGATGGGCATATAACCCCCATCATCTTCTTTAACCATTATAACCCTACGTAGAGTCTCCCTGAAACTTCTTCAACTAATGGTGTGGGTATCTAATTTTACCTCATTTTCCCATAGCTCCTTGAAACTACTCCAACTAGCAGGGGTATCTAATTCTACCTCATATCCTCCTTCAAGATCTTTTACCTCATTTTGCCTTACCTCCTTGAAACTACTCCAACTAGCGATGTATCTAATTCTGCCTCATATCCTTCTTCAAGATCACCGAAATAATACACAGTATGATCTGGCCATGGCCATGAGATCTGTGCGTATCTTTTGGGTGGGCTTTTGGCTATAGGTTCCGAGATAATGCACAGTATGATCTGGCCATGGCAATGAGATCTGTGCGTATCTTTCGGGTGGGCTTTTGGCTATAGGCTCCGAGATAATGCACAGTATGATCTGGCCATGGCCATGAGATCTGTGCGTATCTTTTGGGTGGGCTTTTGGCTATAGGTTCCGAGATAATGCACAGTATGATCTGACCATGGCAATGAGATCTGTGCGTATCTTTCGGGTGGGCTTTTGGCTATAGGTTCCGAGATAATGCACAGTATGATCTGGCCATTGCCATGAGATCTGTGCGTATCTTTTGGGTGGGCTTTTGGCTATAGGCTCCGAGATAATGCACAGTATGATCTGGCCATGGCAATGAGATCTGTGCGTATCTTTCGGGTGGGCTTTTGGCTATAGGTTCCGAGATAATGCACAGTATGATCTGGCCATGGCAATGAGATCTGTGCGTATCTTTCGGGTGGACTTTTGGCTATAGGCTTCGAGATAATGCACAGTATGATCTGGCCATGGCCATGAGATCTGTGCGTATCTTTTGGGTGGGCTTTTGTCTATAGGCCCCGAGATAATGCACAGTATGATCTGGCCATGGCCATGAGATCTGTGCGTATCTTTTGGGTGGACTTTTGGCTATAGGTTCCGAGATAATGCACAGTATGATCTGGCCATGGCAATAAGATCTGTGCGTATCTTTCGGGTGGGCTTTTGGCTATAGGCTCCGAGATAATGCACAGTATGATCTGGCCATGGCCATGAGATCTGTGCGTATCTTTTGGGTGGGCTTTTGGCTATAGGCTCCGAGATAATGCACAGTATGATTTGGCCATGGCCATAAGATCTGTGCGTATCTTTTGGGTGGGCTTTTGGCTATAGGCTCCGAGATAATGCGCAGTATGATCTGGCCATGGCCATGAGATCTGTGCATATCTTTTGGGTGGGCTTTTAGCTATAGGCTCCGAGATAATGCACAGTATGATCTGGCCATGGCCATAAGATCTGTGCGTATCTTTTGTGTGGGCTTTTGTCTATTGGCTCCGAGATAATGCACAGTATGATCTGGCCTTGGCCATAAGATCTGTGTGTATCTTTTGGGTGGGCTTTTGGCTATAGGCTCTGATACCACGGCTATAGGCAGGTTTTGGCTATAGCTAAGATCAATTAGCTACAGGCACTGGATCTTATACAATGTTATCAATTAGCTACAAGCACTGGCTCTGATACAATGTTATCAATTAGCTACAAGCACTGGCTCTGATACAATGTTATCAATAGCTACATGCTCTGATACCATGTTAGAATTTAAGATTTAGCCAAAGTCACTGACAATATCTACCATTACAGTATCTCTTCAAAAGAAATGATGTTTTTAATCTGTTAGCATTCACAATTCTCGGATTTAGATGAAGTCTGATGGGCATATAACCCCCATCATCTTCTTTAACCATTATAATCCTACGTAGAGTCTCCCTGAAACTCCTTGAACTAATGGTGATGGGATCTAATTTTACCTCATTTTCCCATACCTTCCTGAAACTACTCCAACTAGCAGGGGTATCTAATTCTACCTCATATCTCTTTCAAGATCTTCTACCTCATTTTGCCCTAACTCCCTGAAACTACTCCAACTAGCGAGGTATCTAATTCTATCTTATATCCCTCTTCAAGATCACCAAGATAATGCACAGTATGATCTGGCCATGGCCATGAGATATGTGCGTATCTTTTGGTAGGTTTTTGGGTTTTCCCACACACTCAACCCATGGTGGCAGGCTCATCTCTCCCATGTAGTTACGACGAACCATGTTTCTTCTAGGCTCAAACAATCGATTTTTATCTCCTTCGAATTTTTCTTGGATCTTTCTAGCAAAGTTGATATAATGCTCAGAAGCTAACACCTTAAGGAAACACACTAAACGTAACCGCTCATCATCTCCAACTACCAACAATCGGATCCCATCTTCAACGCCTTTTGAATCAACATCCCTTTCTTCGCCATCCTGATTCTAATTTGAAGTCAAATAATGCAATAATAGAAAATCAAACAGAAGAAACTATATGCACAAAGTGCAAGTAGTCCATACCCGTCGACATGATATATTTTTGAGAAAATTTTAATTTTAGTCCACGGACTATTGCACTTGTGTTAATTGCAACACTTCTTTCAAAAATGTTAATTTAGTACCTTGACTATGCAATTCTTATTAATTTTGATCACGCCGTCCAAATGTGACCGGAATCTTTTAATTCATTTTAATTTTTTTTAATTCAAGGGCAAATTAGTCATTTCCTTCTTCTTCATTCTTTTCAATCTTTCTTCTTGGTTCTTCTTCATTCTCCACTCTTAGTTCTTCTCCTGATAAAAATGTCACCGGCCAAACTTTTGGAAGCTTACATGGATTGCCAAAAGGTAGGAGCTCCGCTGGAGGTGGTGACGCATCTCTCGACGGTCTGACAAGAACTTGAAGGGAAGCAGCGAGCTTCTTTCGGTTCCAGAGATTCCTCCAAGGACTCAGAACTCGATCAATTCATGGTGCGTTAACTCAACCATAATAATATTGGAGCAGGGGTGTTTTCGGTCCGGATCTTCAACTCCAGTACGTACCTCTTTTTTTTTTTTCTCTATTTTTTAATTTATAAATTTAATTTTGGGTCCTCCTACTTTCCCTGTTGGTTCAAGTCCCAAATTACAGTGAGTGTTGCAGAAATGCATCTTGTCAAATAAATAAATAAATATATATATATATATATATATATATATATATATATATATATATATATATATATATATATGAGTATAATTGAAATGGTGTATGTAATTTCAACTTTCTTGTGCGGTGCAAAAACTGTTTGTTCTTGTGCAGTGCAAAAACCGTTTGTTCTTGCAAACTTGATGATACCGCCAGTGACAACTGACAAGAATGGTGGCTCGGCGGTGAGCGTGGTACGCGAAGAAGAAAGAAGCAAATAAATTTTTTTTTTTAAATGTAAAATGACTGTTTTGCCTCCATGAATAAAAAACTTAAAAAGATTTAAATTTTTCCGGTCACATTTGGCCGATAATTTGGCCGGCGTGACCAAAGTTGATAAGAATTGCATAGTTAAGATACTAAATTAACATTTTTGAAAATCAAGTGTTGCAATTAATACATGTACAATAGTCAGTGGATTAAAATTAAAATTTACTCTATATTTTTTTATGAGAATATCCTTCAAATTGTTGACCAGTGGTGGCCAACACCACTACCATCACTACCGCCTCTATATCTAGATCACATGATTAAAACTACGTTACATATGTTGTTGCTCTAATTCTGTTTCCACCATTTTCTTTTCAATTTATATTTTTTGACACAACATTATTATATTATATTGCAGCATTCTTTTAATTACTCCATTATATTGTGTACACCATCTAAACAATTTTTGTAGGAAATAAAGGTCCTTAGAATTTTTTGGTAGGGAATGAACAATAATTAATTAAAGGTCGGTATGAATTTGGTTCAATTTTTAATCTTTTCCAATGCAACATGCATGATATTTAGATACAAACTTTGAGATACAATAAAGATATAATAATTGAATTTGATTGCTTAGCAAATTCTATCAAAATAATGAATGTTATAGGACTGTTTGATTTTATTTTGAAGCATTGCAGACACTTCAATAAGAACTAAGCAAGGTGGAAGTTAAGGAAGTTGAAGAGCCTATAATCTTAGGATTTTGAAAAGCCTATAATCTTAAGATAACAACTCTAAAATTTAAATTTAGAAATTGGATGATGCATGGATAATATATGATCAAGTTTGAGGGGATTAACAAGAAATTTCATACGGTGCTGAAAAATGAGTCACATTTGGAGAAATTGTTTTAGCAACATGAGTCTTGTATTATAAATCTAAGACTTAGAAAATAAGGGAAAACTTGATCACAGTATTCATGTGTGTGAAGCAGTACACTGTCCTAAAAATTTTTGATAGATTTTCCTTACTAGCAACAAGAGTGATGAAACACGAATTTTTGAGATACAAGATGTCAAACTTGTGCAACCAGGATATGCAAAATACTTTTCGCTTAAAAGGTATGAGTGACACTGAAATCTTTTATGCTTCTGAATCTTGAACATGATCACAGAGTTAGACAAATCTTTATAAGAAAAAGAGATGGTATATATATTTTGGGCGTTGGCTAGGTTAGTCGAATTCAGAGACGTGGCTCTATGGCTTACACTTACTTATCATCAATTGATTTTAAATAGGGTATAACAACCAGATAACCAATGAACTCTGTGGTTGCGTGCTTAACTTACAGCAGTTAGAGGCGCTGGTATAATTAGACTAATAACATGTCGTGTGGTTTTGGTCTCTGGTTTTTTCCAACTGTAGCATATAAAACCTTGAATTTTATCATAGTGTTAACTCTGTAGAAAATAGGATTCACCATTTATTACTATATTCACAGATACAACATTTATGGAATCCTTTTATATATTTACACAGTTTGTCAAGCCACTTCCTTAATGGTGCAAGATCTTTTGTGGTGACTGGAAACACAACCTCCAAACTTCTCATCATCTGCAACATTAAAAAATCCATATAATGCTATCCCTTTACAGATAAGTTAAAACAACATATTGAATACATCATACTAGATTGAAGCATCTTGCAAGGTCTAGGAATGAATATATAGTGGTATTTTCAGGATTCAGATCCAAATACTTGATGGTTTTTCTTCAAGAAAGAAAGCTTGTTAGGGCTTTTTATGTAGATAGCGATTACAAAGGTCTCGTTTAGTAAAATAGTTAGTCTATCAGTCAATTTTGATTTATTTGACCACTATTAGTTGTTTGATTTGGTTAAACAATCAATATGAATGTTTCATTAATTAGCTTTTTGTAACACCTTATTGGTCTAAAATGCTCAAATTCAAAAAGCTGTTCAATGATCAGCTTTTTGAGAAAGTTATTTTGTATGTAATCATCTAACAGCTAATTTACCAAATATTCTTCTACAATCACCTAATGCTATCAATTAGCCGAACCCACTAACTCAATCAGTTAACAGCTATTTACCAAACACCCCCAAAGTGTATTTAGAATGATTGATTGCTGGTAGTCATTTTGCTTTTAGCTATATAAACTATAAAGTGATGGCAAAAACTATACCAGTGCAGGTAGATATGTATGGCAGGGTGATAATTTTAACATACTCCTAACTGAATTGTATTTAAAGGTCACACAAATTCTTTTTTATTTTCACAAAAGTTATATTGTTAGTACTACTTGTGCTTATTTGCAGACTTTTACACAGCTTCAAGTGGCTAACACCATAACCATTAGCATCAACAACCAAAACAAGTTTAACCAAAGCACAGACATGCATCAAACTACATAGATTCATTTCAGAAACAAAACAAGATTATATTCCTTACTCATCACCGAGTGTAATTCTGTCCATGATCTTGGCCACGACATCCCTCGATTCCTCGAGCACCTCGACACTTTTGCTCAAGCATTGACGTTTCTCTGCAACTATAGGCGGTTCGTCTAGCATCCTCTCGATGCCTCCATTATGAGGTGCCGATAGATCCTTTACAACTTCCTCTTCCATCTCCACATCCACTAGCTTTTGACATTGGAATAGGATGTGCAAAGCCATGCTATCCACAAGCCTCATCTGGACAATCTTCCAGTAAGCCACCATCCTCATCTTTATATCGAAAGCTTGTTTCACCATATCTTGCTGATGACTCCTCAGATGCCCAAGTTGGATTGCATTAGCCCCAATTTCAGTGATTTGGAAATGATACTCGTACCGAGTATTGCCAAAAACCCTTTCAATCAACTCTCCTTGCTTGCGCATGAGATTATTATAGGTCGCGAGGTAGTCAGGATTACAGGTATATCCTCCAAACTTCTCCATTCCAATCATCTGCATCACCCAATTAATCGATTCCTCTTTCTTTTTGGCAATCAAATTCTCTGCAGCTCGCCTCGTGCAAGACTGGAGTTGTGGGCAATTCTCAGCATGATGCACAAGTACTTTGATCACGACTGCTTCGATATAATCCCACATCTCCCCCACCAGTTTCACTAGCATAACAGAAACTTTGTTGAGCCTTCCCTGTAGCATACACGAAAGAACACGATGGGGCAGGAAATTTCTTAAACCAGTTTCAAGTTCTGCAATTTCATCCATCAAGAAAGTGCCATTATTTTCGAGACTTTCCGATTTAAGCCCAGCAGTGTATTGATTGAGCATTTCCATCAACTTGATAGTGCAGTGCATATCTGTCTCTTCAGAATACTCTTCAAAGTCCCCTGTCACCAGAATTTTCCTCAACGAATTCTTGGAAGAGTTGAGAATCCGCACTAATGCAGTTAAAGCTTCAGCCATAGATGTTAGAGTTGGAGGGAGCCTGTTCAAATCAGCCAGATTAGTAGCAAGTTTTTCCTTGATTTTCTTAACAATGTCGGGCAAGCATTTCGAGATGATACTTTCCTGGATCCTCACCAACTTGTCAGCCAAAACCGGGACTGTAACCATGGATTTGTTAATCCTGGACAAGAGAGGATGGGTTTGAAAGAGATTAGCTTCTTCATTCCTGGCATCTTGGAAAGATTCAGAGCCGATTCTGTTCCTAACACAAACATATCCCAGCCCAATTTTCACCTCATCGGCTGTCACTTTCTCAAGAAGGCCTTGTGGAGCTAAATCAGCTTTAGTCACCACAGCTAGAGTCCTTTCTCCTGTCTTATCGACTATTCGTGACATTCTGATAGATTCACATGTCGGAAAGTCGACCGTGGCCGACAGTACATTCAGAATAATGCTTTCTTCTGAAGTTATGTAGTCAATAATTATGTTGGAAATCTGCTCGTAGATGTCGTCAGGTTGGCCCTGAACCGGAACTCTGGTGATTCCGGGCAAATCCACCATGGTAAGATCAGGAACTCCGCTCTTCTTCACTAGCAGCGTCAAAGGGGAGTGAGAAATCCTTTTTCCCCGGCCGGCAATCTCCTCGGTGGCGAGAGTTATAGCTTCCGCAATCTGGGGTTCACCGGTTGGGACAACTTTCCCATTATATTCCAAATGGATCTCTGGGTTGGCAAGATTAGGCTGATTTTGGAGCCTGAGGATAAGCGGGACTCGGGTGGAAATCCCTTGTCCTCTGGGCAGGCTGATTCCGGCGAGTGACTCCAGCACGCTGGACTTGCCGGAAGACTGGTCGCCGACGACGACGATAGTGGGAAGGTGGATGCCCTCTTGCATGATGTTGAGGTCTCGGAGTTTGTCGATGCAGTCGAGAAGTGGTCTGATGCGGCCATTGTAGGATGAGATAATCGGCGCATTATCTATGGGCAGTTCTTCAGTGGATACTTCGCCCATCTTAATCTGCAAATATTTTTAAGTGGAATTGATCTGTGAGAGTTTTCGTCTGCCCAAAAGTATCAGTTGATTGCTATTTGCTACTGCATGCAATTTCGGGGATTAGCATTAGCGCCATACATAAGACTGCATCTTTAAGCTTTAAGAGATAGGACCCGTCGAAAGCATGCAAGAAAAGAATAAAGGGAGGAGCAAGAAGAGAAGAAGAAAAGAAAAATTAAAGGGCCAAAAGTGAAAAAGAAGAGAAGTAATTGTTGGTTCTTTACTTCTTACCTAGTTCATTAATACTATGCATACTTAAGTACTAAACACATAATTTAATTGGGGAAAAATTCTACTTTATGTACCTCACAAATATTTCAATTATCAATGTCATTTCTGGATTATTATATGTGTAAATTTTACCTCTCAATTTTTAAAACATGATATATATTGCTTATCTCTTAATAGAAATAATGAGAAACATGGTTGTCGGTGGAAGGAGAACAAACGAAGAAAGAAAAATGGAGAAAAAACGTGATTTTCGAACAAGGAAAAGGGCAGATAACCACATTTGTATCACTAAAAATTCAGGAGAGGGATAATATATGTCACGTTTTGAAAATTGAGGGACAACATTTACACTACTAATAATTCAGGGGTTGATATGGTTTATTCCTGTGTATATAGTATGTATTGTATGTAAACTGTATGAACAAAAGGGAGAAGTCCCCAAAAATGTATCTCAAGGATGTTCTTTTATTCATTGTAGAGAGACTTGAGAGGAATTATGAGTCTAGAGAAAGAGAGAGAGTGAAGGGAAGAAGAGGAAGGACTCTCAAAATGAAGGGCTAGGGCCCCTTTTATAGGCCTAGTCGAGACGGGTTTGACTTTGACCACGGCCCAAATCATTTGACCCCGACCTGGTTATAAACGAGAGTCTAGACGTACAGGGAGGTACAATCCGGGGTATATATTCTATCAAGTAGCCTCCCCCCCTTCCGTGCCCTGACGATGGGTTAACGAGGAAGGGTTCGGGCTAACAAAAAATTCAGTGGGGAAAAATTTTAGCTAAGGAAAAAAAGAGCACAACGTTAAGCGCAGTCTGGTGGACCAAAAAAATGGGGTTGCTCGACCTAGGGGTCAGATTTGCAACACGATTCGAGAGGTTAAATCTTAACCGATCGAGTGACCAAGAAGCTAGCTAAGATCGGGAGATCCGGTTAACTGTGATCTAGAGGTCTACTTTACCGGTCTATCGACCGGATTGCTATGTACGACCGGGAGGTCAGATTAATTGCGATCGAGAGATCTAACTTTACCAATCATGGGATTGGATTTACGGCACAACTTAGGAGACCAGGTTTCTACATATCTAGCGACCGGATTACTGGTTGGAATCGAGTGGTTAGATTAATTTGCGATTTAGGGATCGAACTTTCTATGATCTAAGAGATCAAACTACACCTATTTACGGATCGAGTTACACCAATAAGGATATTGGACTTTATTCACAATTCACGGGGTTGAAACCGATCGTATTGATCACAAGTGGAACGATTTTCCCAAGACCCTTCTCTCGGGCTGAATGGTCGCAGCTAGTTTTAGCTCGGTCAAAACCCGACTGCTCGACTTAAACGATCGTTCTCAGCCGATCATGCTTGGTCGGTTTTGATTATCACATTAATGACTCACGACATGCTTTGGAAAACCAAAAATTATTCGACTGCGATGACTTCCCCCTTGCACTCGGTTTATGAATCGAAAGTCCCAAGCGGAGGGACACTAGGAGACCTGATGGTCTAACGATAGCGAGACCAGGAAGGTCATTATGATCGGGAATCGATGACAAGACCAGGGATGTCAATCTACTCTTTTGATCGGGAGGCGATGACGAGACTAGGAAGGTCGATCTACTTGGGAAGCGATAATGAGATCGGGAAGGTCAGTTTACTTGGAAAGCGATAATGAGACCGGGAAGGTCGGTCTACTCAGGAAGTGATAATGAGACTGGGAAGGTCGGTCTACTCGGGAAGCGATAATGAGACCGGGAAGGTCGATCTACTCGGGAAGCGATAATGAGACCGGGAAGGTCAATCTACTCGGGAAGCGATAATGAGACCAGGAAGGTCGGTATACTCGGGAAGCACCTTGGCGAACGAGCTACTCTATCACTGTAGCCCCACACTCCCTTAGGTGCGAGAATCGTCAACATAAGGGGAGTAGATATGACGGTTACTCGAGTTTGCCTATTCAGTTTGATTGCGATCGGGAAATGACCTGGTCGAGCTCATGATGCCAATGCACCGGACCGCACTCGTAGCGTTGATTGATCGGGAAGTGACCCGATTGAGCTCATAGCGGCGGTGTACCACTAGTCGATTCGTCTAACTTGTAGGATTTTGGGAAAATTACGAGATTTAAACTTACTAATCAAGAGATCGGACCTCTAACACGATAAAGGATACGCATGCTGCCGATCGAGTTATCGGATTTTTAGCGTGATCAATTTTTACCAATGATGGATTGGTTTTACTTGGGGTGGGAAGCCCGACCTCGCGGGTTCAATTGCCTACCTCGTAGGGCCTAATGCCGAGATGCGGTCTAACCGGACTTAGGGTGTCGGTGGTGACCTAATCGGACTTAGAGCGCTAGTGGTGGCGATGTCGACCTAACCAGACTTAGAGCGCCGGTGGTGGCAATGCCGACCCAACCGGACTTAGAGCGCCGGTGGTGGCAATACCGACCCAATCGGACTTAGAGCGTCGGTGGTAGCAATGCCGACCTAACCGGACTTAGAGCGCCGGTGGTGGCAATACCGACCTAACCGGACTTAGAGCGTCGGGGTGGCAATGCCGACCTAATCGGACTTAGAGCGCCGGTAGTGGCAATGCCGACCTAACCGGACTTAGAGCGACGAAAATTATTTTTAAAATCCGCAACCTCCACGTCAGCAAAGTATTAGGTAAACAGGTCATTTTATACCTAATTGCATGAATTTATGTAGTTCAGGGACCCAATTGCATTTTTTTGAGTTCGACGGCCTAATTGCAGTTTGATGTGCAATTCAGTGGCCTATTTGACCCTTATTCCTTAAGTCAATAATTAGACAAATTACTATTTGTATATTACTAGTTAAATCATTTTATCACCTTTTATTACCATATAATAATAATAATTTTTTTATTAAACATAATATTAATATTTATTATATTTGTATAAAATATTTGGTAATAAATATATATAACATATTTTGTATTATAACTTTGATATTTAATTACAAGATAATGTAAAAAGAACACAATGGACAATGTAGTAAATATAATAAATTAATAAATTTGAAGGTAAGGAATTGAATCTTTGAATTGTAGAAAATAAAGATAATATAACTAATGAAATTATATCTTTTTAAATTTTTTATAATGATTTTTTTAAAAAATAAAGGCATTATAAACATCTAATTCTAAATTAATTAAATGCATATGTATTATTTTTTCTTGTAGCTACTAATTTATTTTTAATTTAATAAGAGTAATAAAGTGGCGTACAAACTTTTCATCCACAATAATGAAATCATTGATTTTTTAAATGTTCATTCGTTGTTAAGACAAATTGTTTTGAGAGTTTGTCAATGACAATAGCTACAATTGCTATCAATAGAGGATGATAATAAATAATTCAAAATATATGTTACAATAGATATTGTTATAATGATATAGTAAAAATTAACTTACAATTTCTTTAGAAGTTTTAATGCATTGATAAAATTCTGATGTGTAAACTTGTTCAATTGGAGTCAGTGAGATGTCAAAATTATCAATTCTTTGGAAAATGGTCCTACCGTTTTAGAGTCCAGGTGTAATTGTATTTATGATCAATAACTTTGTAGTTAGGTTGCGCAGGTCTGACAATGATGTAAGAACAATTTTGTTCGATAAAAAGAAATAATATAAATATTTGTACAATAATGTACAATTGTACCATTATAAAAATACATATAAAAAATATTAATACCTACATCATTCCAATAATGCAAACGCATAATTGAAATATTAAGTTTTGTTGTAAATAATCAAAAAGAAGATTAATTAAACGAAAAAAAAAAAAAAAAAAAAACTTAACCTAATTTTTTTTTTTTAATGCAAGAAAATCAAATGATTTTCAAAGTTCCTAATTTATAATCTTCGATGCTCAACTTTGAATGCTATGTATTTAGTCGGGCTAATTATTTGACAAAAGTTCATGTTAAATTTTATATTATTTTTTTAATACATTTTAACATATTCGTAGTATGTGTTTAACAATTATGCCAACTCTAAGTGGGATGATGTTCGAACCTAAGACCTTTCTTATAGAAATTAATGAGTAAGTTAAGAATAATAAATAGTTAACAGGATATTCCATTACTAAAGTTTATACTAATGAAATTTAGAGATATTTAAGGGAAGAGAATAACATAATAGAGGGTAAGTGAGGAAAAATCATTAAAAAAATTACTAAAATCAAAATAATATGAACCATTCATTTTAAGGAATAATTACACCAATATATATATATACATATATATATATATATATATATATATATATATATATATATATATATATATATATATATATATATATATATATATATATATATATATATATATATGGGTGATCACATGTGGCCATGTTGTTAGGTGTGGTCATATGGTCAATTATAGGCTATTAGATTAAATAGATGCAATGAATCATATTAATCAAGATTTTTTCAGTATTTTCGCGCACATTCTCCTACCCAGCGAATTGCAAGGGTAAACTCGTCATAAAATACCGAAATAGAGAAAATCACATTGTTGTGTGTTTTATTACACTATTGTGCATGTTGTCAACACTGTTGGTGTATTCTGGAACCCGGCCGCTATAAATGGCCACTGTAATTACCATAACACGGGAATACACCATTGGCGTGTTTCACTGTGGTGTGTTTTATTACACTATTGGTGTATGTTGTCAACACTGTTGGTGTATTCTAGAACCCGCCCGCTATAAATGGCCACTGTAATTACCATAACACTCCCACTTATCAAAACGCGCGAAAATCTTCAGAACAACCACTGCTGTTAGATTAAACTGATCCAACAACACAGATACGACCAGACGACCACACCTAATGACATGACCACATATGAACGCTCTTCTATATATATATATATATATATATATATATATATATATATATATATATATATATATATATATATATATATATATATATACTAGTTTTTTACGCACATTGCGCGATTGGGATAATGCCCAATGTTTTTTTTTTAAAATAAGTACTTTAAAGTATATTAAGACAATATTATATTGAAATTGTTCATGCATAGATAATTGAAGGTTGAATTTGCGTATTTAAATAGCACCCCACATTCCGACCCGACAGAGCATTGTGGGAAGTTGTAAATCACGGTGACTCAATGGTTCAGCAGACAGGACCAAATGCCGGTGCGAACAAGGAATCTACCCACTTTGGACATAATTCTCGCACTGCCGCCGCCGAGGTTCAAACCTTGGTCTCTTCTCCCAAATACTGCCCACTAAACCATTGAGCTAAGCCCGTGCGGGTTAAATAGGTAATTCTAAGTTTACAAATGCAAGATAATATAGTCAAGATTGATTATAATTGTCAATAAAATAATTGTATAGGTATGGTTGAAACCAAATACGGGACATAAGGGAGAACAAATAAAAATTAGGGCATAAAATATTAAATATATACTAATATTGTTTGAGGAGATTTCGACATTAGGATTTGTGGTTAAGTTCTATTAAGACTATAATATTAAAATTAGATTAATGGTGTAATTATAATTCTATATTAGACGTTAATATTAGAATTAGACTAACGGTGAATTAACGGTATTTAACGGAAAAGTTAAATGTATAATCATATAATTAACGATAAATTAGAAAAACATTAAAAAAATTAAAAACTGAACAATTTGAACCATTCATTTGATTTAATAATTTGACGGTCATTTTTTCTACCCAATGTTAATAATTAAATAAATTCGTTGGTCAAATCTGCTAATATAATCCGCTAACTACTGATTGTCAAACAAGGACATTGCAAGGTAGTTCTCACTTCAATTTGTTGTGTGATTTGAATACTCTCTTTGTCACAAAATCTCTCAAGTAGTTAATATGGTTGGCTTTAATTAATTATATTTTTTTTAAAATTTTTTCATGGTATTAATAAAATACTTATTAGATAAATATATAGCATTATTTTGTATTATAACTTTGATATTTAATTAGAAAAATAGTGCACAAAAAAGATAATAGACAATGTAGTGAATATAATCAATTGATGAATTTGAATGTAAAAATTTTTACATTTGAGAAAAATAAAGACAATATAACTAATGAAAATATTTCTCTTAATTAATTTATTGATAATGAATAATTTTTTTTCACTGAATTAAGACATTGTAAGGACAATGTAGCGAATATAATCAATTAATAAATTTGAATATAAAGAATTTTTATATTGTAGAAAAATAAAGACAATATAACTAATACAATTATTTCTCTTATTTAATTTATTGATAATGAATAATTTTTTTTTTTTTTGAATAAAGGCATTGTGGACACATAATTCTAAATTAAAGAAATGCATATCTATAATTTTTTGTTGTAGCTACTAAATTATTATTTATATAATTTAATAAGAGTAAAATAGAGTATCACACACACACACACACACACACACACACACACACACACACACACACACACACACACACACACACACACACACACACACACACATATATATATATATATATATATATATACATATACATATATATACATACATACATAGGGAAGGGTTCAAGTGCGGGTATAGCTTCCCGTGCGGTTGTGCGGTTAGATCTGAGCAGTTGATCAAATTTAGATCATCGGCTCAAATTAATGAAAGTTTTAAAAAAATTAAAAAAACAAAATGCGCGCGTGTCTGGTAGAAAGAAGCATAAGCTAAAAATGACGCACCTTAAGTGTTAGATCTTAAGCACAAATTCCGATCCTTCAACCATGAAAGCACCTCCTTACATGCCAACGTTTTCGCTATGAGTGGAGAAAAACAATTTGTGAGAAGACCGTTACAAGCCGCCAAGAAGGCCCCGTCATGAGAAGCAAGACCGCCCAATAAGTAGCCTTGCCGGTCGCGGGAATGAACCTCGCATCGAAGAAGCATCGTGGGTGGGGAGTAACGTTGGGCGAAGCAGCAGCCGACGATGGAGCCGAGTCTGGAGATGAACATGTTGCCAGCTGAGGAGCAAACCCCACGCCTGCCTCCAAACCACTTTCGGGAGTGGCAGATTTGCATCCCACACCGCCTGGTTCCTGGCACGCCAGAGGTGGTATAGCACTGCCACAATAATTGCAATGTTTTCCTTAGTCATGATGAGCAAAACATTACGAAGCCACAAAGGGAATGAATCAGCCACAATGTTGATGGTGGGGATAGAGGATTCATGCCAAAGACGCCTAGAATAATCACATAAAATCAATGCATGCATAATATTTTCATGAGTAAGGCCACATTTTGGACCTGTAGGATCTACATCTATTCTCTTTAAAACCAGGTTCGTAGTAGTGGGAAGGATATCATTAAGAGCTATTCATAAAAAACCCTTCGACTTGGGTGGTACTTGTAGTTTCCACAGGGAAACCCATTTATCAAAACCCCCAGGGCCATCTACATAATTACCAATAATGTGCCCGTAGCATCTTTAACCATGTAGCAACCCTTTGGGTCATTGTGCCAATACCATGAATTATCATACTCGGGGCTAATAGGATACTAAAAAAGCGAGCCACATCCTCATGAATAAAAATATCAGATAGAATATGTGGATCTCATGTACTAGTTACTTGATCTACCAAACCTGAGACCAAAGAGCCGCTCAACTCGTTAGGCATTATGGTCTGAACCAGAGGACTTGGTTCGCTAGGTAGCCACGGGTGACCCCAAATCAAAGTTGCATTACCATTGCCTATTCTTCTCCTTGCACCACCACAAACCAAACCATGTGCTGCCATACTACACCAACAAAAACTTGAATTATTACCCAATGTGGCCTCATATAAAGTGGATCTTGGAAAATACCGAGCCTTATACACTCTAGCAGTCAATGAATCGTGATCTATTAAAAACCACCAGGCTTGTTTTCACAACATGGCCAAATTAAAAGCACGAAGATCTTTAAACCCCAAGTCCTTAAATTTCTTAAGGACAGAGATGATCCTAAGCCTTCCAATGAATTCCCCAATCATTACCAGTACTCCACCAATATCTATTCATGACCCTCTCAATGGACAAACATAGTGAGTCAGGAAGTAAAAGACACTCATAGAAAAAGTTGGCATAGATTGAGCCACACTTTTCAAAAGAATCTCCTTACCAGCCTGAGAGAACAATTTTTTATTCCACGAACCAATCATCTGTTTGATCTTATCCTCAATATACGAAAACACAACCTTTCTATTATACCATTATATATTTTTACCTGAGTTACCCGTCTTGATGGACTGAAGGTGTTAGCTCTAGATTGTGTTGCCACTACCAACGTCGTCTACAAAGAGGTTTCAATAATGTGTAAATATAATTAGTGATATTATGTTTTTTTTAATGGAAAAATTGCTATATATCTAGACAAAAAATATATCTTCTGTATAAATGAATTAGGATAACAATTCATTCCTATAACGAGCTGTTAGAGAACGAGCACATTTGCCTAATTTATAAAAATACTAAACAATGATAAATAAAATATTCAAAGTTATAGCATCGCATGCGTACATCTAGACATTAGCTATTAATTTGAGCAATTATTTACACAAATTCAAGCAAATGATAACATCAAAATACAAATAAACGATCCAAACCATATCTTTAATTGTACTATATAATATTTGATGTTTTAATTAAAATAATTATATATCAATTCAAATATTCTTAATATATTACAACAAATTCATTCCGGCACGGGTAAAAATAGTAGTTATTTAAAAAAAATTTAACATGCATATGTTAAAAGTTACTAAAATGACCCGACCCGGAGGAGATATATGTTCGGGTTCTAAAATCTCTGCAATTAGAAGTATAGATAGAAGGCTGGAGAGTTCAAAAACCCGAGCAAAGCTATGGCGCTACTCCCCCAAAACTCAATAATATTTTCTTGGAGCTTAAAACCAAAATCGACATTCACAGCACTTCTTGGCAGCTCTTTGAACATCAAGAAATCCATTTCACCAAGACGGGTGTCTTCTCCTTCTTCTCTGTTCTCTATTCGTTGTTATTCTGTTCTCTCTCAACGGCCCCTCAGGTCTTGCTTACCGTATTGTTCATTTGATAGCGATATATGTGCATTTAGCATTGTACCCATGTTTCAATTCATGATTTTTGTTTGGATTTTGTGTTCAGATATGCAGTCCTTGGTGCTGGCTATGCTGGGCTGTCTGTGGTTTGGCATTTGCTGCAAGTACTCTCTTTCTCCTTCTTCATATGTACTTTTATATAGCGGCAGATATCTCTGTGTTGCTTCTGATTGAATAGTGAAAACCCTTCTTTTTCTTTTGGGACCTAAATGAAACAATAGGAGAGGGGGAGGCAGTTAAGGAAATAACTTTAAACTTCAGTTTATTTTAATGTGATTCTATGCCTTTTTTATTTTTTATCTTGTCTGAAAGTTGAATCCCCAATCCAATCCATACCCGACCCAGAGCATTTGGTAGGATGTAAATCACCGTAAATCAGTGGGTCAGCAGCAGATAGAGTATTTGGGAGTATGTAAATCACTCTACTCTCTCGCTTTGGGCATAATTCCCATATTGCATATTGAACCATTGAGCTAAGCCCGGGCCATACTTTCTTTATCCATTTAGATGGTTAATGTAGTTCTTGGTTCTTTTTCTTTCAAGTTCACTTTAGTTGTTAAACAATTTCATTTTGCAGCACAGTACGAAGGAGGCACCGCTTTTCATTGACATATATGATGAAGTTGGCATTGGTGGAGGTGCATCTGGAATGTCTGGTGGACTCCTTCATCCATACTCTCCTAAAGGTGCATTCCCACTTCAATAGAAATTTCTCTATTTTGTTGCAACTTAACGTATTCCATGTTAAACTCTGGGCTTAACTTTCAAAAGTGTTTCACATTGATTTGCTAATTGTTTGTTTGCAGTTAAGCTTCTCTGGAAAGGGGAAGAGTGTTGGAAGGAGAGTTTAAATCTTCTAAGGATAGCTGAAAATGCTAAATTTTCCCAATCATCAAATGTTGAAAAACAAGATTGCGGTCAGAATGAAAATGACTTTATGGTTAGGAGAAGGTTAGCACAATAGTTTTCAACTTTTCATTATAGCCTCCTCTTTTCTATATAACTATATTAGCTTAAAATTCCAAACTATTTTCATAAGTTTATCTTGTTTAAAGCAGTTTTGTCGGCAACCCATTATTGCAAATGTAACTAAAAGAAAAATAAACCCTTTAGTACACCATATAGGAGATAAGAATCATTTCTTGAGTTAATGTTCTTTATATTATCTAGTGGAGGATGCCGAGCGTCAAGTTCTAAGCAAATTTATTTTAAGATGAAATGTGTTTGTTGCAGAGGTATTCTGAGACCCGCACTCAGTTCGAAGAATATGGACATTATGATTAATGTAAGTGCTTAAAACTACTAACACGACTAGAAACAAGATCGTATTATTATGAGTGACATGTTTTTATTTATTCTTCTTTAGTAGAATGCTCAGGACTTCCTTGCTAGCTGTAGAATAGAGACGATTAATAGAGAATCTGCACAGAATCTTGTTCCGAGTTTGTTTGTGCCTCTGGATGTGGCTTTTCACATGCCTGAAGCCGTCAATGTTCATTCCCGATGCTATCTCGAGGTATGAAAATGGAGCGGTCTTGTTTTTCAAACATTTTCGATATTAATGCATTACCATGTTATGATATTGCTTTAGGCTCTCTACACAGCATGTCGAAATGCTGCGAAAGACTTATCCACTTCGGGTGTCGCACATAAAGAGTTGTGCTTGCACAAAAAATCTATTGATGGTCTCCTAGAACTTGCAGGCAAGCTCGATCTTAACTTCTTTTAGATTCTGTCGATAGCAACTGCATCTCTTATGAGGAGAATCTGACAACAAAAAAAAAAAGCTTCGCTTATGAAGTTTTACGGGAGTAAATGCTACTATTTTTTTTTTTTTTTGTTAGAGTACTACTGACTCTGTTACAATGTAGTATCTGTTCATAACTACTTTCTCAACCTACTGAATCACAAAGAGTCAATACCGCCTCCACTGAGGCTCGAACCCACAACTTCTCATATGGGAGAACAACTTTTAGTTACCAAATAATGATAGATTTTGAAAAAGACATAACAAAGACTTAGAGATTTGGAATTATTTGTTTGGCGGTGAAAGAGTTGCTAATGGGACATTTCTTTCAGGGGAGTATGATGCGGTGATCATATGTCTTGGTGCCAGAGCAGCGTTTCTCCCTGAGTTGTCGGGAAGGCTCCCTTTGCGGACATGCAGGGGCGTTATTGCTCGCCTGAAGATCGATGATAATGTTAGGTATGCATTCATTTGCTTTGATTTTTGACATCTTTGTAATTTTCGACATGGAATTGTACTCAATATGCCACTTTTAACACTAGTTTTCTGAATGCTTGATTCCAGAGAGGATTATCCTGATCACGGCCCGTCAATATTAGCAGATGCATGGCTCGCTATTCAGGGGCCCCGAGAACTCCACGTGGGCGCCACGTGGGAGTGGAAGTCAAGAAACTATTCAAGGGCGGTTTCACAAGAGGAAGCAACCAAAGCTCTCGAAGAGCTTCTGCAAAAGGCATCCGCAGTGTATCCGGGCATCAAGAACTGGAGTGTGAGAGGTGTGAGCGCAGGCCTAAGGGCAATGCCACCGCTCACTCCTCAAGGGTCGCTTCCTCTCTTGGGTTGTGTCGACGAGCTTGTTGGGTGTAAAGAAGCGGGCAAGTTGTGGTTATTTACGGGGCTCGGTTCAAGGGGTTTGTTGTATCATGGTTGGCTAGGCAAAGTTATTGCACAGGCTGTTCTCTCCGGTAATGAGGGGTTGATCCCTTCAGAATTGACTTCATGGAAGCATAAGATAGAGCTGTAACTAATGTGAATTTTTGGCATTTTGTTCACTAATCGCCAACCCTTTAATGTTTCAAAATTTCAATGTTACTTTAACACACTTTGAATGCACAAGAGCAAAAACATTGAATACACTATACCATAATAATCCCCTTCCCAATCTTAGAAAAAATCATACATAGGTTTATAATTCAAAGGAAGATGATTTAGAGGCTTCAATGGAGCAAAACTTAACTCATGTTATGTGTTGTGATTTTATTTATAGAAGATAAATAGAGTAATAAACGTTTTGAGTCTTTTTTTTTTTATTTATTTTTTTATTTTTTGAATGAATCAAAATGTGTAAATAAGGAGTAAAAATAGAGTAGAATTCGAGAGAATGTGTAGTATTACGATATTACCTCATTCAAATAATGTATGATGTCACTTACCACCATTGAAATGTATTGTGAAAGTCAATGCATATATTTGTTTGTATTCTCATATTATAGATATTTTCAATTTTTTTTTATTTGTTTTGAACTTCAGTTCAAAAATTTTAAAACTGACCCATTACCCATGGCAAATTGGAGCTATCGTCGGATTGTTGACGGCTTACGATTGGAGGGGCTAAATAAACTAAAAACAGTTATTTTCAGGGACTAAATCAATGATTACGCGATTAAGGGACTACATTGATATTTCACTAATAATTGAAGGATCAAATCGTTGATTAACCCTATTTCTAAATATAATTATGTTATTAGTTGTTATTCATAGTGTTAGAATTATAATATATATGAAATACAATTACCGATAAATTGATTTAATTATATAAATTTATCTATAAATTTATCGAAATATGTACACTATTAGCTAGGGACTACAATAAGCATACGTTAATTTTAATTTTGTATGATTTGAAAATTGCATTATTACGTTACACTATACATTTTAATATCTTTTTATTTTTTTTAATTTTTATTTAAAGTTATAATAATATAATCTATTCTGTGTGTATATAACATTGGATTACACACAAAAAAAATAAAAAATAAAATAAAATAAAGAAGGCGAAGAGGAAGAGGCATATTGAAAGGCGTGGTGGTTTAGCAACTCGTTCCTTAAAGCATGAGGTTGGGGATTCAATCCCCACCCATGTGAATGGAGCAAACCATTTGTCCAGTCCCCTACCTATGTAAGTGGATTTGACCGTACGGACGGGGATTAGTTTTCATTAGGGGGTAGACAAAGACAAAACAATTTTGATTATAATTACTTTAAAATATATTACTATGTAGGTGGATTAAAATTTACAAACACAAAACTTATTGTAAAACTTGATAGGAATAGAGGAAAAGTTTGTATGTTTAGAAAAAAGGAAAAAAGACGGTTGACAGTTTAAAATTTTGAAGTTTGATTGTAGATTTTAACTATTTATATTTGTAAGAAAAAAAAATCTATAGAAATTCAAATATGATACTCTTACAAAAAATGGAAATAAACAAAAATGAAATAAATAAATGAGTTTTTCTCAAAATGGTCCTTCGACTATTCCCAAAATGGTCCCTCAACTATTTTTCAAGAGTATATTAGGTGTATAATAGGTAATCAGACAAAAATACCCTTCATTTTAACACTTAGTAGACGGAATTAGACGGAATTTCTAACGACGAAATTTCTAACGGAGGACCAATTTGGGGGAGTTTTTAAAAGACAAGGGATCACATCGGGTGCAATTAAAAGTTGAAATGCAAAATTGAGAATGTGCGATAGTTGAAGGACCATTTTGGGAAAAAAACTCTAAATAAAATAAACATTTGTCAATAACTTAATTGTTGCTATTTTCCAAATAGTTATGTAAGCTCAAAATGTTATTCATTAAATAAATTTAAAACAAAAAAAAAAAAAAAAAAAGAACTTATCAAATATTAAACCTTTCCAAAATAAACATCAACACAACATCATTCCCGGTGGGTTTGTGCTGATCATTTGTCCAAATAAATTCATGTGGCGAAACAATACTCTCAACATAGGAGCATATAGCAACACCATCATAATATTTTGATTCTTCCGAGACATAATTGTCGACTTTGTTATTTTTCACATCATAAACAAATATTTTGCAGGAACCATGGTCACCACGGCAAAACAACACTTTGGTATTGCATTTGGAAGAGTATAATGTAGCGACGGTTCTAGGATTAACAGTACTTTTGAATAATTCAAAGGAAGAGGTAGGGATGACAAATTGACAAACCCACGATTCCTTCACTCCATATTCCTTCATAACCCACACTTTTAGTTTCTCTCCTCTTTCATCCCCCTCACTAGCCATGCAGAGACAATCGTCAATGATTCCCAGGCCAAGAATAAATAATATGTTGAGGTCTACATCAGGGGTGGGCAGCTCTTTGAATTCATCGCTCTCTGCCTCAAAATAAATGATCTTTTGATTCATCGGTCTTGATATCGAACCAATTGCCCTCCAATGGAGTGTGTCGTGAAAGTTAACCATGGCGTCACCTTGGTATGTCTTATAAGGAAATGGAACTTTTCGCCACTTTTTGCTCTTGAGGCTGGCAACCATAACAGTGCAGCCATTGCGGTTGCGGAATAACAGAACAGCCTTGTAATCTCCCGTGGACGAGACGGGACATAGCCCCGAGATGATATCGATAGGGAACCGTGGAAGCTCAAGCACTTTTGTGCAGCAGCGAATGGAGGGATTCCACAACAAAATATGTTGTCCCACGGAGAAAAGCACAAGCCCGTTGCAAGAGCACCAAACACCAGTCAACCAAGAATATAGGTCATATAGCGGTGGAAACGTGTTAAGGCTGACCTGGTATAGGGTTTTAATGTGGAGACTATTGTTGGTTATGGATGTAAAGGTTAAGCTGCTATCGGATAACACCGCCGCCAGCACTCGCCTTTGTCCGCGATAGGAGAGCTTGAAATCGGGGTTTTGTATTATGGAATGCCATTCTTTGCATACCCATTGGCACCGGATGAGAGCTTTTACCTTCAACTTCAATAGTATGGGGTGAATGATATCAGTTGGTACGTACATGGATGTATGTATAGAGTGAATTGAGACTTGAGAGGAGGGGCTGCGGCGTATGAGATTTGTTTTTTAGGGGGTGAATTATATAGGTGGCAATGCTAGGTTTTTGGTTCGTGGTGTTAGATTATGGATAAGCAATGGGCTAGGTTCTAGGATTTTTTGTGGACACCAGACACTGATCAAGAATGAGATCATATAATGTCAATTGTTATACCCTGCACTACGGCGCACATAGCATTGTGCGTCCTGCGCCTCCCAAAACGACGTCGTTTTTGTAAGTTATATAAGGAGTTTGACGCGATTATGTACAATTTTTTTTTTTTTATACAATTATGTATATTTTTTTTTATACAATTATGTACCTCCGAAACAGGAAATTTATGTGTATTATGTTAAGAGTTCATGTGTATTATGTATTATGTTATATTATGTGTATTATCTTTTCAAAAAAAAGTATGTGTATTTTGTTATATATACAATTATGTACATTCTTTTATACAATTATGTACATTTTAGTATACAATTATTATTTAAACATGAGATTTTTTTTTAAAAAAAATTAACAACCAACACAGGATAGCGAAATCTAAAAAAAAAAAAAAATAAATCTGAAACGACGTCGTTTTGCTCCAGGGCGCACAATGCAATGTGCGCCCTGGTGCACGATATAAATTGCCATATAATGTACAGTGGTAGACTCACAAATGTGATTTTGGTCTTTAAAGGTTAATTGTATGTTGCTACATCTAGAGTTAGAAATCTTAAAGGTCTAAAAATTTTGATCCGTGGTAACTCTAAAATTGTAATTCAATTACTATTGTAGTTTACTAAGTTCTTAAAAATTTGTAATATTAAATACTACTATGTACTAAATTTTTAATATAGTTTACCCACCTTAAATATTATTTTAATTGTAAATATATTTATGTTCATAATTTTATCATAGAAATTCACACATAATAATTATTAAATAACAAAAATTTTATATATGAATAAACCTCATATAGGGTAGATTTTTATAACATATTTTCCGTGCATCGCACGAGAAGAATAAATCAATGTAATTATATAAATCTCTATATAAGTTTATTTGAATATGCACATAATTAGAGACTATATTAACCATACAAAATTATAATTATAATTATAATTATAATTTTAATTTTAATTGTAATTTTGTATTCTATAAAAATAATAAATACTTGACCAATGGAAGCTCAAAAATATTATTATATTAAAGAATTTAAAATATTTTAGTTTTTTTATTTTTTATTTATATTTATAATAGCATAATTTTTTTCCCGTGCAGCGGGTGAATTACTAGTTTATACAATAGTACAACTCTATACCCGGTCCCTAACAAACAAAACGTATCAACTAATAATACATATGACAACACTCTTTACTTTCATCTATTTGATTTCATGCATTTCTCAGTCATCATCCTCATCGATCTTCTATCCATAATCCATTTCATATTCTCTACGCATGCATCTCTGATCTCCGGATAAATTCATACGGTGAAACAAAACTTTCATTATACTTAGGAACGGAACATATATACCAACAATGTGTTGTACATACATTATGTCTCGAATTTTAAGGAAATTGTTCGCCTTGTTTCTTTCCGGATCGGATCATATAAACAAAAACCAGCCTTAGCTTTTTCTGATCAGGACTCCAGAACATACAGCAGTTTTGAACTGTTCATCGGATAATAAAATAGGGATACTATGTCATCAAATCTAGATTGCTTCTTTCAAAAGTCAATTGTCAACAAATTAAATAAAAATAATATATATTATTTTTATTTCTGTTTTTAAATAACCGACTTAAAAACTATTATCGATACGTCAATTATTGAAAAAAATCAACGTATATAGTATTTATTTTAAGAATAAAATAAAAATTAACGTGTACATATAACGTTGGTTTCGTCAGAACCGACATTATATTTATATAATTTAAGTATTTTTCCTTTTTTTTTTTTTTAAAAAAAATGAGCATATAACGTTGTTATAGGTATAATTTCTTGAAAATTAAATTATATACCTATAACGTCAGT